CCAAATGAGACCAAAATGAGAGATTGAACAGGCCAAATACAAGGGAAAGGGCAGCGGAGCATCCTAGGATGAATCGCAACACATACCATCACCAAATTAGACCAAAATGAGAGATTGAACAGGCCAAACACAAGGGAAAGGGCAGCGGAGCATCCTAGGATGAATCGCAACACATACCATCACCAAATGAGGCCAAAATAAGAGAGAGAGAAGGAGAGAAATAAGAAGAGGAAGAAGAAGGAGGAGGAGAAGGAGGAGAAGGAGGAGAAGGAGAAGGAGAAGAAGAGGAAAGAGGAGGAAGAGGGGGAAAGGGGGAAGAAGAAGAAGTAGAAGAAGAAAAAAAAAAAAAAAATAATAATAATAATAATAATAACTTTTTTCCTCCACTCACCCCTATTAGTGCCCTTGGAGATGCGGTCTCAATCCTGGTGCTCCCTCCCTGGGTATGGCTTTCACCTTCCCAAGCTCCTTTCCTCCCCCCTTTTCACTTCCTCCAGGCTATGGTAGGCTCTTCTCACCTTGGCTAAGGAGTCCTCCCCTCTAGAAGGGCTAACGGGACTCATTCTAGCCTCTCCCTCTTTCCCACAGCTTGGGGCTATGGCGGACTACCTTCCTCACTACTACCCAACCCCTAGAGCCTCCTCCTCTAGCCTATCACCATATCCAGGCTCTAGACAGGCAGCGGTTCCCCTCCTCTCACTTCTAAGTGAGTAGAGCTCTCTCACGAGCTCATTTGTGCAGCATGGACTCTCCTCATGCAAGTGTGAGAGTGGCGGACTGAACCTTCAACTTTTGTAGGCTGAAACAGGTGCACCGCCCAACCCATAGGCCTTCCCATGTGTCTCAGGGTGGACCGGGGTACCCCCAAGGCAATTTTCCACCACTAGGCCCTTTCGGAGGTACCTGGGCCCCATTTAGCCAGGTACATGCAGTCCGAGTGGCTGGTACCAACTCGGACTACCCCTTGGCCTCTCTTGGCCTCTTCTCATCTTCAAAAATGTTGTCTCATAGGGACCCCAAGCCCAAGGTGCAGCCTTTCTTAAGACTTGAAGGCCTCGAGGCATTTTCCTTCCCCTTTTCTGATCTAGGCCTCTTTTGAGTAGGCCGGGCTATTTTCCCATGTCGCGGCACATTTTCAGCCTTGAATCTGGCTGAGATCCAAGGTCTACAATATTCCGAGCTACCCCCAAGTGGTTCTTGCTTCAATTTTGGGCCTCTAGGTCCATTTTCTCAATTTCTGATGCATCTGGCTCCCTTCTAGGGCCAAAAGCACAAATTTGTCTTTTTCCCTCTTTTGTTTCTTTCCTTTTTGGGCTGCCACCTCATTCCGGAGCTAGCCGTTTTGTGCTGCCCACAAAAAACGGCTAGTTCTCCTCCACCATGAGATCTGATCTCATATCTATGGTTCACAAAAAAAACGGTCAACTCATTTCTGCATTTTCTCTCGTTTTCTTTTCTTTAATTCAGATTTTGTGGAGATACTCTACAATCCGGATTGCCCTCCTTGAATTTAGGAGGGATGAGGTCATCGTAGGGACCTGCCAATCCTTACCGCAGCAGTCCCAACAGACCGGCACATTTTCCTCCACTCATTTCTCCCCTTTTGTCTCATTCTCCCTCAATTTTCTTCCATTTTTCTCTGTTTTCCCTTTATCTCTGCTGTGACAAGTGTCAAACAGCTGTGCACCCTCCTTCCTGGCCTCTAGAACCTCATTCAAGGCCAGATTTATGGCAGGAACCTGGCCGTTGCATCTCGGATTACAATAATGGCACCCCCATGTTCCTAGGGGGCTCCATTTTGCCTCCGTTATTTCTGATTTTGGGCCCCCTTGCTCCGATTTTTCTTCGAACAACCATTTTCTTATGGGGAGCCCCTTGGGGCTCTATTTTCTCAGGCCTAGTCAGTCCGTGATATCCCGGACTGCTAGGCAAGCCCCCTACCACCATTATCTCTCCTTGCCCTCCTCCCGTGACTCTCCCACTTGCCCCATGCCGAAATCTCCTTTTTTTTAGCCCATTGGTCTTGCCGTAGCTTATTCCTCCTTAGCCTTGGCATCTTCATGCAGTCCGTTGTAATTCGGACTGCAGTAGGGGTCAATTCTCTAGCCCCACTCCCTCACAACTAGCCCCTTACTTGAAAGAAAACAAACGGCCAACTCCCGGATGCATCCGGACTTCATTTTGACGCCGGATGCCCCTAAAACATGTGTTTCACCTCCCCCATGTAATCCGTTATTTTTCGCTTGCATGGGGCCTTGACTCTCTTTGATTTTCTCTGCAAAATTCAAAAAAATTCAAGGTCTTTTGCAACCGCCATATTTCAGGATGAATCTGGTCACGGATAGACCTCCCAAAGTGACCGATTTTGGTTGTTAGTGCCCTTTGTCTTTTCCTCTTTTTTTTTTTTTTTTTTTTTTTTTTTTTTTCCCTTCCCCCTCCATTGGTGGCCAGTTGGAACCTCCCATTCCCTACTTGTTGCAGTCCCAACTGACGGCCAACTCACTCACTCCCTCTTACCCATTTTGTCTTATCCCTCCTCATTTTTCTTTTTCTTTTCTTTTTTTCTTTTTGCATGCCATGTGTCAACTAGCCGTTAAACCACCAGTACCTGGCCCAGCTATCGGCCGCGGCGCTTCCCGTATACGCGCCGCGCCATTTGGGCTTTGGCCTGCCGAACCGCATTGGCTGGAGGCCGCAGGCAAAACGAAAAAGAAAATTGCAACGGCGGTTCGACAGGACTTGGCGCGCAGCGTGCTGGGAGGCTCGGATTCAATAGCTGAGCGAGGTACTGGTGGTTTAAGGCCCTTTTCTAGGCCCTTCATCTTAGTTTTGGCCCTTCCTCTCCTCTTGATGCAGTCCGTTGTAACTCGGACTGCAGTGTAGGTTCTCTCATGCCCATGGGAGCCCCCTTTTACTCCCATTCTTTCCCCCATAGTGGGCTCCCCTACTCCGATTTACCCCGGGGCCTTATTTTCCCATGGGCTTTCTTTTTACTTAATTTTCTTGGGGGAGGCAGATCCGAGATTCTTCTAATTGCTCCCATGCTTCCCACTTTAATTTCCTTCACTTTTCTTTTTCTTTTCAGCCTCCCCGTTCGCTCCCACTAGTACCCATACTAGCGGGGCTAATATTCTTTGGCCGTCAAGATCCTTAATCTTGACGGTGCCCCCTGCTTTAATTATTTGCGCCTCCCGTCGCTCCTTACTTTTTCGCTTGGGACGCCACAAGTCCCCGCCACTTGTCCCATGCTATTCCTTGGTACTCGTCCCGCCGTGGACCGCCGACACTCGTCCCGTCGGTGGTCCCCATCACCCTAGTCCCGTCGACGGTCCCCGACACTTAGTCCCATCGGCGGTTCCGTCACTTAGTCCCGTCGCCGGTTCCCAACACTGAGTCCTGTCGACGGTCCCCGACACTTAGTCATGTCGGCGGTCCCCGACACTTAGTCCTGTCGGCTGTCCGCGACACTTAGTCTCTTCGGCGGTCCCCGACACTTAGTCCCGACTACCATTGCTCTCGCCTTCGGTCTCGTGCTTCCCCTTGGGCTCTGTTGTCTCAAACTCAAGTGCCCCGTCTGTCCTCAGGGCGCGCCTTTCCACGTCCAAGCCTCCACGCTTGTTTTTCCTGCAGCTGCTAGCTCTTTCCTGCGGTTCCCGGCCCAGGGTGACGTTGCTCTCGGCGGCTTAGTCCTCTGCTTATTTCTATTCTCGTTCCTCCTCATTCCTGATTTCTCTGTCGTGCACAAATCGGGTCTATACAAGCTCTTGAGTGATGGGAAGTCATTCGGGACCCACTGGTCCCGACATTGCGTATTAGACCAACTAGCTGAATGGAAGAAGCCGGCAGACGTGGCCACCGTCGCAAGGAAGAAGAGGGAGGAGGAGGCAGAAGTACAACATCGCCTCGCTGAGCAACAACGATTGGAGGACACAAACGCTGAAGGGCCTTATTTCTGACGCTACGATGACCGGCGCGTTCCCTACTATGATGTAAACTTGGGAGTGGAGGCCCTTTATTTCACTCGGAGAGACGTGACTGGGTTCGTGGAAAAGTGGGAAAGCTACGCCTTCTGAAAAAAATTCTCTGAGAAAGAATGGATAGACCACTTCATCCAACACTCTGACCCGGAACTGGACCAAGCCATTAGAGCAATCTACCCTCCTGACGGAAGGTGGAGGACCTTCAAAGCAAGCCTGTTAAAAACCTTTGCATGCGATGATCTTATGCCGACAATTCAAGGTCTGCGACAAGTGACCCGCAGGGAACAAGAAAGTCTGGTGGCTTTCACCAAGAGGTTCAAAAGACTCTCTCAGGCTCTAGTGGATAGAGGGATGCTATCAGAATTGGATAGATGTGTGATGTTCATGGTGCACCTTCCCGAAGAGAAAAGGAAAGAGGTCCTTGAGAAGGGCCCCAGGGACTCGTTGCCGAGGTAGTCTTTACCAGAGGAGGGATGGACGTGAGAGAATACATGAGGAAAGTTTGGACCAGGCCCTGAAACAAAGGCGAGGTCCGAGAAACGACGCTCCACGAGGAAACGATCGGTCCTCTCAGGGTTTGTCGGGGCAGCGTTGGGGCGGAGGCCAAGGAAACTGGAGACACGAGCCTGGAGGTGGGAATCAAGGAGCTTGGAGAGGTGACCGAGATAGCGAGATCAATAGGGGGTCTGATTGAGGGAGCTCCCACTGGAAGGATGCGAGGGACAGCCGTTGGGGTAACCCTCCTCAAAATAGGGGCCCCAGTTCAAAACCGGAAGAGCAACCGGCAAGGGCTCCTCCTCTGCCTGGGGCTGGAACGACTAGCAGCCCGAGGCCTTCCGCCGGAACTCGTCCGCCCAGCCCTACTCCCCGGAGTGGTTGCGTCTATTGTAACGAAGAAAACCACATCAAGCGCGAATGCCCGCACCTCACGGAGGCATTAAGATTGGGGCTCGTGAAGTTGAATGAGAACAAGTGGGTGGTGTGGACTGATGACGGGGAACCCGTTTCGTTCTACCCTTCTATGAAGGTGAATGTGGACAAGCGGATAGCCCTACAAGAAAAAAAGCTAAAGAAAAGGTCCGAGACTAGCGGAATGGCGGGGACGTTTAGGGTTCATATGGCAGAACCCGACCCAACTCAAGGAATTTCGATCCAGGAGCCCCAGGTCTCTAACATTAAGTTCGTAGAGACCTCCCTTGAAGAGGTCGAATCCGATCAGTGCTCAAGGGTGCGGACCCAAGCCCGGGCCAGTTCTTCCGGAGAAAAAGGGGCTGCTCTCGAGAAAAGCGGCACAGACGGCGACCAACCAATGACGGACGCAAAGATCGAAGAGAAGAAGGAGGCAAAAGGAAAAGGGGAAGGAGAACCCACATCGCCTCGAAAAAAGGGGCCAAAGAAATTCGAGATGAAATGTACCTTAGACGAGATAGATACAGTGGTTCCTCTCAGACGGACTCTGATGCAGCCCATGCAATGCATGCTACTCGAGTACCTCGCCGCCAGTAAGAACGCGAGAGAGGAACTTTTGAGTATCACCAAGAAGGCAAGAGTTCCTATGGCCCAAGGGCCAACTGCCTCAGGGAATGTGGTAGCCAAGGAGGGCGTTCAGTCCGGAACGGCGCAGTCCTCGAGAATCACCATGGAGAGTCTGTCGA